GAAGTGAATTGAAGTCTTTCTTAGCAAGTTTATCGACCTCGACTGTGGCTTGGTTCATAAACTTGCAAAAAAGGAACAATTTTCCTCCAATACGGACCTCATGCTGTTTCAATTAACAAATAAAGAAGCCTAAGCCGTGTATTACACTGTGATAAAACACTCCGGACATTTGAGAACACTCGAAAAAACATTTTCCTCGTGTTCTCAAATGCCCGTCGTGTAATACACGACTTAGGCTTCTTCATTTCATGGTATAGAGGTCATGTGGCGAAAAACAATTAAACACGCCTTTTCTATGTTTTATACTCTGATAAAACATGGATTTTTGACGAAACAGAGTGCGCGCAGGGTCCTATCATAACATTATAATAACATATAATGACTTACTAGTTGTAAAAATAGCCCCGGCTAGCTTCGTTACGGTGTTAAATGTGCAAGGGTGCATGAAGAAGTTTTGAGTATAAATAATTTCGGCAGTTAATTTTTGCAGTGTACGAACAAATTTCGGCGGTGGTGTTGAAATGGCGTATGTGGCGTAACACTGAATTAAGCATGGTGTCAGAAGTGGAATCTTATACTAGATTCTCATGGCTAACTAACAGGTTATATACAAAGATCGGTAAGGAGAAATGGTATGTTGATAACTAACCTACCCATCAATGTAAGCCAGGCGCTTCTCTGTAGCCATGCTCGTAGCAAATTCTTTTGCCTGAAACATAAGAATAAAAGCAATTATGTTTAGGTGGCTATTAACGGTTTGGAACATTTTTCAGCACTTCTACTTCAATGGATTAATACTGCCTCCCGTACAGTAATAGTATCAAATAAATACCCAATTATTAGTGAATAAGGTATGGGCTATTACGTGACGGAAAAGGTTATCATAGCAACAGGCTAGAATTTGATACACGTCCAAAAAATCAAAAAAGCTTCTGAAACACTTTATATCAAGACTTTCTTTCAAAATTGAAATCAAACTTAAAAATAGCTGTAAGATTTCATTAGAACGACAGCAGCAGAACAGACACGACAACAGATAGATATTATTTTTTAAAGCAGTTTCAGGTTTTAATTTTCAACATCATTTAAATAGACCTTGAGAGAAACTACATTTTAATTTAGTTAGCTTATCAAGTCACCACATCTGAGATGTCAAAATTAAATATTTTATAAAGTTAATTTTAATTCTGTACTGCTTTCTTGCAGGGCGAGTAAAATAACTGTTTTTACTACGTTTACTTGCCTCTAATTGGTTGCTTCCTTTGATGATGACTTTGGCGCCAAATTTCTTGCACATTGTTTGCTTGATCAATGGCGAGTGTTCTGGTAAGATAACGTGAACGGTAACCCCTAATGCTTGACCGTGAAATGCAAGGGCTATCCCATGATTCCCTGGTGTTGCAGTAATGACACCGCGGTCTTTTTGATCCTAAAGAGCAGTGAATTGTTGATTCAATGATTCAATGAATTATAGGAGGGGGTTGAAAAGACTTGCTTTATCTTAACTTCTCCTAACCTAATATCATGATCTTGGTCACTGTTTTTGACAACACATGTTCATAAGGCTTTACCGTGTCTACAGCAATTAGTCTGCATTAGATAATGGCGACAAGATGGCGCCGAGCTTATATCCCTTACAAAGCCGGTTCCAAAAATATTATCGTTTGGAATTTGAATCATATTTATTGATTTGTAAACGGCAGGGAAGACTCGTGAAATTCAAATAGGTGGATATTTGAAATTAAAGCAGCTATTATTTTTCTTATTTCATGTGGCTTTAAATATTCAGAAAAAGTGTTGTGCTGGAGGAAGACTGTAGAATTAACACAAGTTGAAATGCAACATTAACTGGCGAAATCAAGCAACGCAGGTTTAGTGACTAACATCTTTCTAGGGACAAAATCGCTTTAGATCTGGGTCGTAGAGGACTTGCTCTGTTGATAGAATCTTTTTTTTTTTTTTTCGTTTTTTTTGCTTGCTACTACTGATCATGGGAGGCGCGGTGGCCTCATGGTTAGTGTGCTCGACTCCGGAGCGAGCGGTCTAGGTTCGAGCCCTGGCCGGGGTCATTGTGTTGTGTTCTTTGGCAAGACACTTTAGTCTCACAGTGCCCTTTTCCACACAGCTATATAAATGGGTACCGGCGAATTTAATACAAGGGGGAACCATGCGATGGACTAGCATCCCATCCAGGGGGGAGTAGAAATACTCCTAGTCGCTTAATGCCACTGAAACCGGGATAAACTCCGGCCTAATGGGCCACTTGGCTTGTATAAAGACTTTACCTGCCTTTACTGCTAACCATACAAGGTCATTTGAAATTGTGTCAACTCAAGTTTTCAAGTTTGTTATTTTTTCAATGAAAAAAACTAGTAGTAATCGTAGACTAAAGAGTGCGTTCGAATTTTGGTAGGCTTAGTATGTAAAAAAAGCAGAAATTCTAGGGACAGCATTTTGTGCCTGAGCTGTTAGGTAGGCGTGAAATTGGTCGCCCTTCAGCAGTGGCGAAAACAAATGAATTGATCGCAAAGCACGTGCATACGAGAGGGTTTGTTCTCGTTTATACATGTATTGTGTAATATTAGTTACTACCGGTCAGTAAAAAACATGGATTGCAGTCGGAAGGCCACATTTAGTCCGCAGTCCCCATTTTATACCTGAGTCCGCGCGCGTTTAAGTCCATTCCGTAATGTTTAGTCCTCGTTTTATACATAAGCCTATGTTTTATACCCAGTTCGCAGTCCGTAGTCCGCAGTGCATGTTTTATACCGACCGTGTAAATCGACACCAATCCTGTTCGTTATGTCGGTATGCGAGACGACGTACTTTTAGTATCAAAACTAGGACAATTATTTTGTTTACGAACACGACTTTGAATCGCCTCGGCTTTGGGGTAACAGCTACAGGGCATTTTCACTTCCGAAGCAATGAAACGGAGGACATGTTGATGTACCAAAGCAACCCTGTTGGAGTTGAACTCTTTTCCTATCTAGACACTTTCGTAGGGTTAACGTAACGTAGTTTGTGCACAGAAATCTAGGCCAGCGAAGTGAAACTCGTTTCCTCCTTTGATTTATTCAGCAGAATGCAGCATTGGTTTCGGTCGAAGAGAAGAGGGTACACAACAAGCAGCCAAACTACAGCTTTCTGTTTGTAAGAAAAGTCGTACACATTTCGTGAAGACATGTCTGCAAGGTTTTTAAATGCCATTAATACTGACTTCGAACTTTAAATAAACAACTTCAGTATCCGCTACAGTCCACAATAAGCTTCCTCGACACTCGAACGTCCGCAATACTGCACAACACTCGAAAGAAAGCACATGGACGAACATGGACATGACGTCATTCGCCCCTGAAGAATTTTTTGGGGGGAGGCCAAATTGGTGTCCCCAGATAGATTCATAGATCTCGAATTTTTCTGCATTATGCGATTAGAACTGCGTTCTATCGAACGCAAAAAAAAAAAAAAAAAAAAAAAAAAAA